CGGACGCCTCTGGGACACCTCTCGGGCATCTCTTATGGCATCCACTTTGGCTTAACTCCTCCGGGATACGGTGCAACAGATTCAACAAGCTCACATGTTCATGACATCGACATCGATAGAAGAAACCAAACAAATCATGCAAGCAGCTTTGTTTTGCCTCTGGGACACCTCTTGGGCACCTCTTATGGCATCACTCGTTCAACTCCTCCGTGGAGGTTTTGGGATACGGTGCAACAGATTCAACAAGCTCACAGGTTCGTGAACACATCGGATGCATCGAACAGTGTGGCAAAGTCCAGCCACGCTTCCTTAATTGTCGGGGACTTCAATTCGAAGGTTGGCTGTGTCATTGCTGTTTGTGTGTCTTACATGTTCACAACGTTTTACCTCATGAGCATTTGCCTCACTCCGCTTGATGTCCCACCAGTCCGGATGCACCCCTGCTAGCTTTCGTCACCTACCCTCGGCCTCAAGTATATATATATATATAGGTATACTACACATATACACACGTATATTTTAATAGCAGAGCTTTTGTTCCTTCCGCAGTCCAAAAGTACACACTGTCCTAGTCGTAGTGTACCGCATAAGGCAGTGGCTTGAAGTGCCCAGGTTGGCGACCAATCTGCGTGGCCTCAACAAGCTTTCGCTGAAGGGCAGCAGGTGAGACTCATCAAGACCTGCTCAACCAGTACTCCACCAGTGTCATGCATCGTGTTTAGGCCAAAACCTGTTGATGCTGCATGTTGCACTTATCTTACCCGCATTGACGGACCAGATGAGTTCATGGAAGGTAGATTGGCCAGACGAAGCCTCAGATGCACAGCAGGCGAGCCTGGATGTTTTCGTTGGAAGATGCTAAGTAGCTGTGTCCAAAACACAGGAATCAAAGAGCGTCAACATGCGTCCACATTAATAATGCAAAGTACTGTAAAGTAAAGGAAGAGGTGCAGATTGTTTGGCTCCTGCGCAGGCTGCGGACGCGTCCCTGTGGGAAGAAGAAGCCTCCGCCAAAGGAGAACAGGCAAGAGTTGCCACAACTTGCGTTGCGTCAACTTGGGTTTTCTTTGTCGAAATGTTGCTTCTTTGCGTGCGTCGGCGGCTGTCATGTGCAGGAGGGTTGGCCAGATCAAACCCTTGCAGACGGGCAAAAGGTGAGGCTTATTGTAGCAGAAACTTGATTTGGGAAAGAGGTGGTTGCAATCAGACAAAGAGATTCAATGTGTGAAAGGCAAGGCTGAGTGATAATGGTATGCAAAGTAGCTGATTGATGTAATTAAAAGCTTGCGCCACCTCAGCATGGCAGGAGGAAGGTTCTGCCGTGAGACATGAGGCACGAATCCGCTTGCTTCTGCAGATGTTCAAGGTTCAATTCGAAACTGTTGCAGACACATGATGTCAAGCCACAAGAATTTGCTTGACAAATCATATGTATGCGCCTTTTTCCCAGGCAAACATGTATCAATCCGATTGTTCCTTTTGACATTTTTTGACGACGCGTTGCGTTGTTTTGTGCACAGGCAGATTGCCCAGATGAAACCCCTGCAGACACGCAGAAGGCAAGGCTTGTTGCAATAAATGAATGTATATAGTTGGAAGATGCTACTTGCAGCAACGCAGAAGGATGTCCTGTGCGAGCGGAAAGGAAGAGGTGCAGATTGTTTGGCTCCTGCGGAGGCTGCGGACGCGTCCCTGCGGGAAGAAGAAGCCTCCGCCAAAGGAGAACAGGCAAGACTTGCCACAACTTGCGTCATAACGGTCCGCGTTCGAGACCACGGCTGATGTTTAGCATGCATCTGAAGCGTGAATCATTAAGTATTGGAATGCAGGTGCCAAGTGCCCAGTCGAGCTTGCACAAACTAAGGGCTGGGCGAAGAGCTGTCGTAGGCAGTCGTCCTGATCAGCACCACTTTGTGCCCAACCAAAGATCAACTGGCAGTTCAACTGGCATCCAGGTGACAACAAAACGGCACGGATCTGACAGATATTAAAAGCAACAAGTTCCAAAATTGTTTTTCTCTTCCCCGCGCTGCTTGCTCAACTCTGACTGCACCACCTGGTTTGCCATGCAGTTGTTTTGGTGGGGCGGCGGAGAATGGACAAATAGATGGATGGACGGGTGGATGGATGGATGGATGGATGGATGGAGGGACAAATGGTTCGGTTGTGCCACCTCCGCATGGCAGGAGGAAGGTGCTGCATTGAGAGATGAGGCAGGAGCCCACGTGCTTCCGCAAATGGTCAATGTTCAAAGAGTTCAAGATTGAAACTCTTGCGGCCACGTGGTGCCATGGCACAAGAAATTGTTCGGCAATTCTCAATGTATGCCTTTTCCCGGGTCAGCATGTGTCAATCCGGATTGTTGCTTTCGCCGTATGTTGCGTTCTTGCGTGCACGGGCAGACCGGCTTATGTGCAGGTAGATTGGCCAGACGAAACCCCTCAGAAGGCAAGGCTTGCTGCAACAGCTGACTTGTGTGGGAAGGTTTCTTGTTATATAAGCATTGAATGCACGAGAGGCTAGTAAATATGGAGAGCAGCAGATTTATTATGATCTACTGTATATTCTTATGTATTGCACAGGTCGATGCCCCTTCAGGGCAAGAAGAAACCTCTGAAGCAGAACAGGCAAGACTCGCTTTGGCAGCTGTTCGAAGTCCAAACTATTGTGGAAATGTCGCCTCATGGCGCAAGCTACTACTCAACCAGCCTCAACTTTTTCTTCACGACCAGGTGCCTCATCATCTGAATATGCGTCGAGTTCATGCGCAGGTCGATTGGCCAAACGAAGCTTCGGTAGACGCACAGCAGGCAAGACTTAAGTGTGCTGCTTTTTGATTGCGCATTCTGTTAATTTGGGTCCTTTGTCGAAGTGTTGTGCATTAGTGCGTGGAATGACAGACGGACTTATGTCGCAGGTAGATTGGCCAGACGAAGCCTCTGCTGACGCACAGCAGGCGAGACTTGTTGCGACAGATGTTCTCTCGCTGTGAAGGTGTTGACATGAAAACACGGAATTATACATTCTTAACAGTTCACAACATACATAAATATGCATAATAAATACACAGTAAATTTGAATAGTAAAAGGCGTACTCTAAAAGTGTAATTAGTAGGGTCAATGGTAAGGCTAGAAGGGGGTGCGTGTTGGTAGCTGCTGCGCATGGAAAAGGGAGGCCAGTGGTCAAGCTGAGTGACTGGCTGATCGGTTCATGTCATGTGACAGGTGGATTGGCCAGACGAGGCCTCCGCAGAAGGCCAGACTGAGCAGGCGAGACTGGTTTATGCCTTCATAGTATTCACAAATCGTTGCTTGCAGCCATTGCGGTCCTGTGCGCAGAAGAAAGTGCCCACGAGTTTTCAGACTCCAGACATCCTCAAAAGACAATGACAATGCCTTTGATGAGATGCTCGCAGGCAAGTGATGCAGCTGTTTGGCCACCTGAGGTGGGCGGACTTTTGAGATTCTTTTAACGTTGAGTTGTCAATTGTAGTCCAGTTGGCGTTGGCAGAACCACTGAATCATTTTTAGTGATTCAGGCTGGTTCCAGCCTGGCTTGGCCAGATGCTTCTGAAAGGACTCGGCAGGTGGGACTAGCTCAATTTCAAGCAGCTGTTGTGTTGTTTCCACCTGCGTTGGCAGGCAGATGCCCCGCCTGCTTGGCCAGAAGCTTCCGAAAAGATGCAGCAGGCAAGATCAAAGCAGGTCACAATGATCAAGACTCTAGATATTCGTTCTTCTGTGCGAATAGCTATAGTAGCAACACTTGACCTTTGAATTCCCCGGAGAACAGACATGGAGAGAAGAGTTGAAAAGGATGAGAGAAGACTTGAAGGCAACGTTGGTCTGTTTGTTTTGCGTCGGCTCGCCAGTCTGGACTGAGCTACATCAACCTTCAGCCCCCAAACCCGGTGTTTAAAAGCAGCTCGAGCAGCTCGACCAACTGCAGTTCCACCACATGCGACGTTGGTGAGGCAGGCAATGTATATGCTTGGCCACAGCCATCCCCCGCAAAGCCGGAGGCGACGCTGGTGCTAGATCTTAGATGGGTTTGAAGCCGGAGTCTTTTTTTTGCCAGCGGGCCGACGCCCGGAGTTGTACCACTAATTAAGTCATGTTAGGCACACAAGGTGGGACTGGCTCAATGTCAAGCAGCTGCTCACAACAGTATTTCTGTCTTTGCGCAGCTTGATGAAGTTGGCGTGGTGTTGCGTGGACAACCACGTAATGCGTGGACAACCATAGAGCAAACCGACAGGCAGATGCCCCACCTTCTTGGCCAAAAGCTGAACCGATGCAGCAGGCAAGACCCACTTGCCTGAACCGACTTGCGAGCAACATTGCTTGACGTTTGTGGGCGCTGAATCCTTGCGGGGACACGGGCATGTGTTGTTACTAGTTACTACATGTTAATAAGTATTGCACGCGGAGAGCAGTGAGAGAGAGAGAGGTATCAAATGCGGCAGATGTTTATTAGTTTGTTTGTGCCGTATCCTTTTGTGAAGTAGACCCTGACTAGCCAAAACCAGACTGAACCAAGTCAAATCGAACCAAAGCAAGTGCTGCCAAGGCAAAAGATGCACATGCGTGGCCACAGCCATCCTTGGCGACGCAAGAGGTGGGACCTAAGGAGACATTTAGACATTCAAAATAGTGCGCAGGGCGATGTTGCTTGATCCTGCTTGCCAACAAAGGGGCAGAAATCAGTGACAGGCTGATGTTGTGCCTACTTCTGAAACAAATGCCGTAGGCAAGGTTAAGCCTTATAGTTGAAGTATGTTCAAGTGGATCAACTGAGAAGCTGCGTCAGACAGGCAGCCGCGACTTGCACACGCCCAAAAGCCTCACATGTTCAACTACTTTTCACGGGGCCCTGGACAACCAATGCGAGACACGAAGGATAAGTTTAAGATTATACAATGCAAACAGAATTCCTGAACAACAGCTCGCACAACAAGAACGATGTTGGTATATAACAATGAGAGAGCCGCCCAAACTTGGAAATAGACAGAGCACCAGCAAGGTTAAGGTGTTTGTTCACCACATAGCTTCCAATATGCTACAATCAATCATGCAGCCGCGAGCGTTTGTTGTGAATCCTTCTTGCTTGCCTTGAGTGGCGCACCTGCCAGGTGCGTGAGATACGCCAGGAGCGGGGGAGACAGCGAAACTTCAGTGACACTGCGAAACTGCAGGAGCTCTCAGGATCCCATCTAGCTCACCGAGTGAGCCTCTTTTCAGATCAAGTCATGTAGGAGTCATGTAGGAGTGCATGTTGGAGTTCGAGGATGACCTTCGGGCACCGCACCAAATGATGCAAACCTAAACGTCTTCCTTGTGACGGAGGACACTGATGCTTGGCAAGCTCCTGTTCGGGAGCTGCAGCGCCGTGTGGCGAAACTGGAGGATCAACTCATGGCACTGCAGCCGCCGGAGGCGTGCAGCTGGCGCCCTGGTGGGTCGGAAGAGGTTTTATTCCCCAAACAGTTTACTGTTAGGGGTTCTCAATTCTTTCTTAAGATGTGTCCGCCCTTTTGTGTCACTGCTGGTGTCCGCCCTTTTCCGTTGGCCATGTAGCATGTCTATTCATTTGTCTCCCAGGTCTGTCGCTGCTGGTGTCCGTCCTTTTCCGCTGGCCATGTAGCATGTCTATTCATTTGTCTCCCAGGTCTGTCGCTGCTGGTGTCCGCCCTTTTCTGCTGGCCATGTAGCATTTCCATTCATTTGCAACATTTCTATTCATGTGTCTCCCAGGTCTGTCACTGGTGGTGTCCGCCCCTGGCCATGTAGCATGTCTCTTCATTTGTGTCCCAGGTCTGTCGTTGCTGGTGTCCACCCTTTTCCGCTGGCTCATGTAGCATGTCTATTCATTTGTCTCCCTGGTGCCCTTTTCCGTTGGCCATGTAGCATGTCTGTTCATTTGTCTCCGAGGTGTGTCACTGCTGTCCGCCCTTTTCCGCTGGCGATGCAACATTTGTATTCATTCGACAAACAGTGTGCCGTTGCGTAGGGTTTCTCAATTCTTCCTTAAGATGTGTCCGCCCTTTCTGTCACTGCTGGTGTCCGCCCATTTCCGCTGGCCATGCAGCATTTTAATTCGTGTGTCTTTAAAGTGATTTCTTTACTTTAGTCTCCCAGGTTCGGTGCCTGCACTGCTGGTGTCCGCCCTTTTCCGCTGGGCATGCAGCATTTCTATTCATTTGTTTCCCATGTGGTTTGTTTACTTTTGTTTTCCAGTTCGGTGCCTGCACTGCTGGCATCCGCCCTTTTCCCCTTTCCAGCATTTCTATTCATTTGTCTCCCAGGTGATTTCTGTACTTCCCCAAACAGGTTACCGCTAGGGGTTCTAAATGCTTTCTAAGAGTGTCCGCCTTGCTGCCGGACAGCCTGTCCGCCTTCTGTCCGGCTTGTCTCTCTTGGTCTCCCTTCTTGTTGGTCACTGTGTCCGCCTTGTCTCCCTTCATTCTTTCTTTGTCTCCCTTCTTGTTGATCATTGTGTCCGACTTGTCTCCCTTCTGCTATCTTTTGTCTCCTTTTTGTCGCCCTCTTGTTGGTCATTGTGTCCGCCTCGTCCCTTCGGCCTCCCTTTGTCTTGTCTCCCTTCTTGTGGGTCACTGTGTCCACCTTGTCTCCCTTCTGTTTCCTTTTGTCTCCCTTCTTGTTTCCCTTTTTGTTGGTCTTCATTGTGTCCGCATGTCTCCCTTCTGTTTTCCTTTGTCTCCGGTCTTGTCTCCCTTCTGTTTCCTTCTGTCTCCCTCCTTGTTGGTCATTGTGTCCGCCTTGTCTTCCTTCTGTTTCTTTTTGTCTCTGGTCTTGTCCCCCTTGTTGTTGGTCACTGTGTTTGTCTTGTCTCCCTTCTGTTTCCTTTTGTCTCCCTTCTTGTTGGTCATTGTGTCCGCCTTGTCTCACTTCTTGTCTCCCTTTGTCTCCGGTCTTGTCTCCCTTCTTGTGTCTTGTCTCCCTTCTGTTTCCTTTTTTCTCCCTTCTTGTTTCCCTTCTTGTCGGTCATTGTGTCCGGCTTGTCTCCATTCTGTTTCCTTTTGTCTCCATTCTTGTCTGCCTTGTTGTTCCCCTTCTTGCTGGTCATTGTGTCCGCCTTGTCTTCCTTCTTTCCTTTACATGTGCCTCCTCTCTCCCCCTCTCGCTTGCAACCCTTCACATTTGTCTCCCAGCTGCTCTGCCCTGCAATCCTTTACGTTTGTCTCCCAGCTCTGGGCCGCGTGTCGCTTGCAATCCTTTACACCCTGTGTCCAGATGTGTCTCCCAGCTCTGGACTGCTGTGTCCGCTTCTGCCTTGCAATCCTTTACATTTGTCTCCCAGCTCTGGGCTGCTGTGTCCACCTCTGCCTTGCAATCCTTTACATTTGTCTCCCAGCGCTGGCTGCTGTGTCCGCCTCTGCCTTGCAATCCTTAATTTGACATTTGTCTCCCAGCTCTGACTGCTGTGTCCGCCTCTGCCTTGCAATCCTTTACATGTGTCCTCGCAAGCCTTTGCATTTGTCTCTCAGCTCTAGACTGCTGTATCCGCCTCTGCCTTGCAATCCTTTATTTGTGCCCAGCTCTGGGCTGCAAATTGCTTGCAATCCTTTACATTTGTCTCCCTGTGTCTACATTTGTTTGCAAGCTCTGGAAGGAAAAAGACACCGGCCACAGTCTTTGGCCGTGTTCCCGAACCCTGCATCCTCCTTTTCTCCTACTCATGTCCTTCTACTGTCCTTTGGCCACGCTGGCGAACCCCATCCTGGCCGCTCTCGCGAACCCTGTGTCCTCCTCTTGTCCTCTCGCGGTGTCCTGCAGTCCTTTGGCAAACCCCCGTGTCCGCCACGCCATGCTTTCGAACCCTGTGTGCTCTTCCTCTTCCCCCAAAAGTTTAGGACATAAATGGCTGGCCGTGATAGCCGTGGCCGCAGTGTGAATGCAACAGTGGCGCAGCGTTTCAAACTTGATATCATCCTCGGATTTTCTCATCCTCGTGAAGTATAGATTATATAATCACGAAAGGTAGCTTGAGCTACCTGAGTTCTCCTTGCTTTAGCAAAAATGTATTACAATCTGGAGTTGGGATTATTCATTGAGTTTGGTCCTCTAAGAAAGGATTCTGTTCGACGGGGGCCCCCCCCCCCTCCCTGGATCATTCCACCCCTGCGCCGTCGCTGTTTGGGTCACATCCATCCACCCTTGACGCCGTCATGGACTTCTACCAGGCTTACTTTTGATTGCCTGCTACCTTTCGTTCACCCTCTCCTCTCTCAAGTATATATATTTATATCCCTTCGTTTTTGCACAGGTGACCCGGGAATCAGGAACTATTGTTTTCAAACAATGCTGGGAACTATAAGAATATAATTGCAGACGTTTCCACCAACATTGGAATTCAAGGAGTTGACGCCAAGAAGCAACTGAAACTGTTTGGGACCTATGCACTGGCATAATCTAGGGTGGCCAGCTTAGGTCTCTAGGACTCCATTGGTTATTGAAGTTCTTGCAGTGGACGCAAGCTGGGGAGGACTCGACAACTTGGAAACCACTATAAGTTGGACGCAAGTTGTCCGATTTTAAGGCCCCGCTTCGTCGACGGCTAGGCTTCGCCCAACTCGGTTCGCCCACAGACCTCCAAGCGCGAAGCAGTGCGGCTTCCAGAGGCGTGGGGGGTGGGCTTCCGACGGACTCAAGGAAGCGAATGATGCCCGTCTAGTCGTTGCAAAGGTGATCACTTTCGATCACTTTCCATGCTCAAGATTTTCCATTCAACAGCGGATCTTTGTTGCGATATTGAGACCGGGTAGGTCAACTATTGAAGAACCTTTTGACTCGGATTACATTTCTGCTCACCAAGAGCTTGTGCACAGTAGCTCTTGCAAGAGTTTGGGACTCGTCAACGTGGGCCCCGGACCTTTCGGACAAGAGACCTCCTCTCCCGTCGCAGCCCGCGCGGTGCACTGTGGGTTCCGCTACGTGGTGTTAATTTCCTCATAGACTCATATGATATACAGTAGGTTCTTCTTCAAACCAATCGCGGGCAATGTCATCGGCAGTCATACAACCTCAAAAACCGCTGAAACATGCGCAGTGCAAGTTCACTGCGTGAGCGCCCGCACTTTCAGCCATCGGCGGATACTGGCTCTGCTACTTGTTTGGGCATCTCCCTCCCTTTGCTAGCTGGCAAGCGTTCATTTGCCCTCCTTCTGGCATATTGTCGGACGCTTCATAGATTTCCGGTGCTCCACTATTGCTTTTGGCTAGCTGCCGTGGAAGAATGCAAAGGACATGGGTTGTGCAAGGCGGAGTTTGCATTCAATAGTTTTGGGCTGGGGTCAGAAAGGCGTCATGTGACTTGAAGACCCAGAATAACATGCAGCACAACGATGTTCGCACTAGGATTCAACACGACTTGGATAGTTCCCATCCATCCCCCACCTTTGGCCATGCTTGTTCGTAGAGCAAGCAGGGCAAATCGACCAAAGCGCTGCCAGGAAGTGGCACATCAAAGGTCGCAGCAGGCAGAGATGTCGGACGGTGATGAGGTGCGGTCTTTAGTGTCCGAAGGGATGGAATAGGTTGGAATAGTGGCGGATGCAAATAGTAAGCTTGAAGAAAAGGCTTTTTTGCTGCTGGGCCGATGTGTGGGATGATCCCTGTCCGCCTGCACGCACATGTGTGGGATTTGATGTTTTTTTATCACTGGTTGTGGCCTTGGGCTTGCCAATTTCTTCTCACGGTGCAGGTGTTCTCAAGCCGACTTGTTTTTGGAGTGTTTTGGAGCCAATGGGCAAACATGTTCCCTTGGCGTCGAGGTATGCAAAAGATTTGGTCACAGGCAAAAGCGTGGTATATCTACACACACATATACACACACACACACACATATATATATATACACATAATATACACACTATGTAGTGTTATATGAGACCCTCCTGGTTTGCCCAGAGGTTCTCCCCATGGCAGGTAGGGAGGGATGCACTCCCTGGCTCACCCCAACTTGCTCGTGCCCAATGGCAACTTCAGCAAGCTGCGCAACGTAGGATTGCCCAGTTCCCATGTGGAGGTGGCTGCCTTGCTGTTTTTCACTTCCTTTGTCTTTGAAGCGGCATTTGGTTTCACATTCGACTTGAGCCAGTTGAGCCCTGTTAGGTCCCTGTTTGCCTCCTGTCTTCAGGTCGAGCCGTTTGAGTTGCACCAGTGGTCAGTTCAGATGGCGTTTGGTCCCGAAGAGTGAAGCGAAATCGATTGAAGACGTTTCACGAAGTCTCGAGTCTCGAGCAAACAGCAGTCCAGTGCAAAAGAACTGGAACAGGCCCTGTGCAACGGGGTCTTCACACCAAAAACCCGTGAAGAAGTCAGACTGTTTGATGGTGTGTTGCTGTGTCTATATATATAAGTGTGTGTGTGCATTTGTATGTGTATATATATATATAACTATCATCCATAATTTTAGAGGCTCTAGCCATGGGCAGGTCCTGGTGATGACCTTTCGGAACTGGATCACCTTGGATCCAGTGGTTGGTCGCTTGAAAACTTATCGAGGGAAGATTGTTGCAACATGGTGTAACAAATGCCACTGTTGTCCTGGGAGATCTTTGTAGCATCAACCTGGCATGTTTGTGCTTCCTGGGGTGATCATGCGTAAATCAATGTTGGCCACCAAAGAAACAATGGTCTTTGAATTTATGGTGCAACTGAGGGGGCAAGGCAACAGTAGGAACTGGCAGCATGGTCGACTCTGGTAGCCGTAATGCTGAAGAAGCAGCATCAAGGAGATTCATGAGCGATCTTCGTGGCGAGCATTCTTTGAACAATGGTGCTTTAGCTGTTGCATGCAGGAACTAAACCAAGTCGAAATGTTGTGCCCTCCGCACAGCTATTTATTTTCAGCTCCTGCCTGATCCAAATGTTGGATGCAAACCTCTACACCCTTGTTCCCGCTCATCTTAAGTATAACTTCCCAGTCACACTTGATTGCAACAACTTATCCACTTTAGCGCGCTTCCATACTTCTGCCTGCTGGCGAGATGCCAGGCGGAGCGCAGAAGGGTAAAGGTGGCATTCAGCGTAGAGGGCCATGAGGGACGCCACAACAACGGGTAGCAACCCTGGGGAAGACCAGCCTGAGGGTGTGAGTGACCTGATTGAAGAAACACACTCAGTTGCTTAAGGATGCTGCTGAAGGAGGCCGTCCCCTTATTGCGCCAGTTTCGCTAGGTGGCCCAGCTACCGTTGACTCCCATCGATGGCCTGGGACCCTTGGGACATTCTTCCACCGCGCGCCAACCTTCTTTGAAGCCACAGCCTGGCAGCTCCAGGTACGACCCAAGGGTCAACGAGGCCCCAGACCGTGGATTCCAAGTGATTGGCTTTCCTTCCTAATTAGGCTACCTTCGGCTCCAGGCACCGTGGTTCGGCTCCAGGCACCGTGGCATCCCCGTATTGGTTCTCGGAGACCTTCGGGTTCAGCGAGGACAGAGTGGATCGAAGGGGTTGGGCCAGCAGTGTGTGGCCCTGAGAGAGAGAGAGCCACCGGAGGAACAGGGTTGCCCAACTGTTGGAATCACTGGCCCCTGACGAGCCTTGTGGACAAAACCTCTACACGTGTTCTTTTTTTTTGGCTGATGTTTATGGCATCTGCGAAGTCCAAAATTGATTGCTACCCTTTGGGGCTCCCTTTCCTCGTTAATTAAGCTCGGCCACCGGACCGTTCGTGCCATGCTCTAGGAGAGCTTCGACAAGACCCGCAGCTTGGCCGAAGCATGGGCAGTGCTTTGACGCTGTGTAGCAGGACACTCACAGAACTCAAAGGAAAACCAATCCAACCGACTTCATTGATTTTCCCACATTTCTTGTCACATGCCCTCCTCCAACCTTGGCCATATCGGTGGATTGGAGTACAGTATGAGTAAACAGTAGCAGACTAGTACTGTATACATAATGATCCCAGCATAGATAACACCGTGAGGCTATGCTTTAAACATAGTTATATAAATCTTTTTCAGACCATGTGAGAGAATCTCTGTGTGGGTTCACCCTGTTCGTTGGCACTCTCATGTCTCAAGGTGAGAAGTTCACCTTTGCCGATGGGATTCTGGAAAGCAAGGCCCTGCGAGATGGGTGTTGGTGGTGGAAAAAGCTCGGGCCGCATTCGAGGCATTCGAGGCATGCATCAACACTGCGGGCATTTTGACTCTGACACGGCGGCTGTGGGTTTTGGTGTCAGGACTTGGTGTGGCCAGGCAGCCCTTTCAGATCAATGCACAGCTAGTAACAAGAAGCTACTATCAACAAGGTGCAGTTGTTCAATCGACTGCTGCACAGTTCAGGTCACAAAGCGCCAGTTCCATGTCGGGCCTTTCGAGCTGGTCTCAGTGGAAGAGCTGCGGGGAAGGCTGGCAGGCGCCGGTCTTTATGAAGGGGTGAAGGGGGTCAAGTGCAGTATTTGCCAGGTGGACGGCGGGGTTCAACAGTTGTAACTAGAGCTTAGCAGTTTACCTGATGAGATTCTGCTTATAGCTGCCCAAGGCAAATGTCTATCAGCCTCAAGAATCAAAGCCATGAAGTGAGAAAAGGTAACCTGCACACGCTGGCAGTTCACGGGATGTGCTGGTGGGCAAATTCGGATCCAACAGTTTGTTGTCCTTGTTTGCTTGTTGCGGACACTGCGTGCTGCAGGCTTTGATGGAAGTTTGGGAGGTTTGACCTTCAGCAACATGGCCCCGCAAACAGTGTCATTTGCAACATGGGTGCACTGGTCTGCTTTGCTAAGATTTTGGAGAATTCGTTGGGGGCGCCGGCAATGCCCATGTCTTTGTTTGAATTATTTGGTCCGCCATCCCGGACTTCTCACTGAGGCAATGTTTGCGGGAATGCCTGCAGCCAAGATAGACCGAACTGACCCTTCAAAGACTGAGTGGGAGATGTGTCTAGTCTAACACGGCCAGGACAATATATCCTCTATGAAATGGGATATGTCGGTATGTCATGGTCTGCCATAAAACGCTATATGAGCCCCCTCCTTGGGGACGTCAACCTCCTTGGGGACGTCAAGCCCCATTTTATCGAGAAAATCATGTCTTGTGGTGTGGGTTTGGGAAATTAGCGCTCGTCCATGACTGCGAGATTTGTGTGTTTGAATGCGTCTCATCAAAAGGACTCAACATCCACACGCGGGCAGGTTTTTTAAACATAACAATGCGCACAGAGACGAGGAAAAGAGAATGCAACAGTTTTCATACAAAACACGTTTCTTTGAACGGTTCAGTTGCTTTGAGCGATGGTGCCTAGAAACATTTTTTGGCATCATGTGAGGAACATAAGGACATGATAGAACATGTAAGGACTTGAAATCACCATCCGGCACTAAATGAATGCCTGACTTTGAAGGGTGTGGTCCATCCTACCCATTTTGTAGAGAATATATGTGAAGTATGGTGGCAGCAAGGTTAGGCCCACCATTTCATTCTATATACAACGGCTGGCAGGACTCCCCCTGGGAATTGTCATGAGCATCTAAAAGCTGAGAGAGAGAGAGAGAGAGAACGTCAAAAACTGTGGGAATCCATTGGAGCATTCTGTAGTTTGATGATATCTGATGATATTTGGTGAAGTTTCTTTTCCCTGAGCACGGCCCGAAGGCACTGCAGTCCAGACCAACCCAACTCGGGTTTGTGTACTTGTGAAAAACAGGATGTTTATATAAGCCTTCTTCCTCACACATGCCAAGGCCCAGACGCTGCACCGAGACGCGGCCAATGAGGGCGCTGTGTTCCAGGCGCGTAGATTTCAGGGTCCAAGCTCTATCTCTTAACGTTACTTGTTTTTCTTCTCAGTTGTTTATATAAAATGTTATATAGATAATCATGTTTGGTACTATTTGTGTGTTTTGCCAGCAGCCTGAATCACAGGCCTTGAGGTTTGGAGCTTTAGAGCAGCGAAACAAGCGAGACTATGTATAGTTTTGGCGCATGGGGAAAGGGCTCAGAACAGGACACCAGAGCCATTGCGGGTGAACATCCAGGTAACGCCAGTTTGGCTATTCCGTTGTGTTCGGGGCATTTGCATTGGAAGCTTCGTTGACCCGCAGCCAGCCAGTCAAATTCTCAGAGCAATGTATGTAGACAAAGGCAGTTCGGTCAACCTCCGAATGATCTGCGCTTTCGGACTGAGCACTGGCCGGCATGTTCATCCAAATGGAGGTGTCGTGTGTTGCACGGAGCCAGGAAACACGGTCGCAAGTTAAGTTAGGCTACGAACAAAGAGCGCTTCCGCCATGTTCTTCTATCACCGGATGCTGAGCCTGGCAACCATGATGTACAATGAGCAGGAGAACTTGACTATTTGAATCTCAGTGAGGATGCATCGGGAGGGAGCGGGGGTTCGGGGCAATGTCAGTCTCGGGTGGCTGGAGATACTGCATTCTTTGCAGGGAGCTTGGAGCCAGTGGGATCAGTGGAGGTAGGCAGTGTAGGTTTCTTGTGAACCACCGCCCCATACACACACACACACCCGGAAAAAGGGTGAAGACCCCTCAGTTTGGCATAGGAGTCTGTGGATAAGGTGAGAGAAGCGGTTAAGGAAAGCGGTGTAGACGGAGGAAAGATGGAATGGAACACTTATGTTGTTGGTGTTATCATGTTTGTCGGCTTCGCCTCCCTTTCATTGACCTGTCCAGCTTCATGCTTTCTATTGTTCCAGAGGCTGTTCCTCGAGCTATGCCGTACCCTTCCTTCATTTCCAATTCAGTATTCTTGGTAAAATCTAGGAAATACCCCAAAGCATTGTTTGCACCATCCAGTTCTTTTGCGTTTCCCCGGTCTAGGACCTAGCAATGGCATCCAACCAGAGATGGGCTGAGGTGATTTCATCCTTCCCGAAGAAGCTCGCGAACAGCAACGCAAACGCTCAGAAGAAGTGGTGTCTTGACGCATCCGAGGCATCCCAGGTGGGGAAATGATCCAAGATGCCTTACTTGGTTCAGCACGAGTTCGCATGAATCTTGAATCTGGTCAGGTTCCGCGTTGCGCGTTACGGATTCAGAACCAGGATGGTCCAACATCTTCAGATGACAGTTTATCAATCAACAGTCAACATTAATGATTAGCCAGGACATGACAGGACACATTGGATACAGTAGTGATTTGCCAACGAGAGATCATCTCAAGATGGCACCCTACAGAGAGGGAGAGACAGCCTGCAGCTAACAAAATAGATTCATTGCAGTATATTTATTAGCACGCCCCATTCCAAAGTCATACCTGTTTCTAGAGGAAAGTCGTTTCCCATCCCAGGGACTGCGGGCTCGAGGGCTCCTGCGTTTCCTTTTCCACAACCTCAGCTGTCACAACCGCTGTGCCATGAATCCTGCATTGTAGTTTCAACTGCCCACCACCACCAATGTTCCTTTTTTTTAAACATCCAAAGAAATGCAAGCGACTGGAACCCACACACGGTTCCCTTTTTTCCTTTTGTAATTTGTCGGGTTTCGCATTTTGCCTCACCAGAAGGGTCAGATTGTCAGACTGAGGTGAAGCAGCTCAAAGAAAACGCCGCCGCTGCTGCTGCCGCAGCAGCCGCGTCTGCCACGCAAGACCCTGCGGCGGAGCAACGCTAACAGGCGCACCTCCTAGACACCCAAGGGGTCGGGCGGAAGAGGAGTTGTTGAGAGATGTATTTCAGACATGTGCAAGTCATAGAGCTGGTGTTTTTGGTGTGGTGCAGGACATTTTTGATGAAACGGTGCCTGTTACCTTTCATTTTGGTGCGGTGCTTTGACTTTCAATCTTGCCATTGCATACTGCAGTATATATATATAGATATTTCAAATTTCAATATAAGGATATAAACATTTGGCATGTTTGCCGGGTAGACAATTTCACAAATCCAAACCGTGATGTTCAATACTTTTCATTTTGGAATCCAAATCACTGTAACTGTAACTCATTTTATAGAATGGTTGGATTATCTTTATAGAGATTTGATGGCCACACAGACGAGATCTTCTAGAGCATTGAACATCTTTCAAGGCTAGGTGCGACTCAAGGTGTCTCTATTGAATGATCTTTTTCAGTCTTATTCGCTCAATTCCCAGCCTTCGTGAGGGAGCAAACACGAGAAGATGCGCCGGCAACGGCAAAAGGGATCAAAAAGGGCCGGCGGCAATAGCGGATGAGTCGAGGTAGATTTGGGTGGACAATGGTGGGCACGTTTAAGATGTTCAGATCAGACGCAACGACATGAATTGGGGCCTACAGTATTTGCAGTATGCGTTTTGAAATTGAGCTGGAAGAAAGCTCGGACCCAATTGATTGTGGGCCTCCCGAAGAAGTATGAAGCCAAAAGATATGACGCAGACTAAGATAACCTAAGATACTAATATAGTTGCACAAATGTGGGTTGTATTAACTTTGTTGATATGTAGCACAGTTGCATGAAACAAACTGACTGACTCATGATATGATTTGGAAGAATGTGTGGGGAAGGCCGGGCATCTGGCTTTTGCTCCAAAAGGTTGCACCTGACTTGATATTGGTTTGACAGATTCACACCAGACCCAGGGATATTCACTTGAATGCTGATGGCCCCCTCAGAAAGAGGATTGAATCAAAGACTTGGGTTTAGGGGCTCCGAGACCGGCATCAACAACAGCCGCACTGACACGTAGCGAGAATGGTCCACAAGAAAAGAAGGCCACCGTACAATAGGACCTTCATTTGATCCCTCGGATCCTACCTTTCGTCTCTCCTGCTCACGTGATACTGGCGGCACATCCATCACCCTACTGTAGCTTCTGAGATCTTAGTAATTAACTCTGATCCCTTCCTCACTGTGACTTCTCACTCAAGTATGCCCCCTCCACATCCACCTTCAATGTTTCTTCTGAGCTTTGCCACCTCGTTGACATACAGAGCCCAATTTCTTGTAGAGGTGGCCTCGCAATTCAACTGCCTGGAGATGAACGAGCCTGGCGCACGCCCAGAGGATGGAGTGACCCGCTACTACAGCGATGCCACACAGGGCCCAGCAGACTTGGTCGCAAGCGGGGTTGTATACGACAGGCATCCCAAACGCATAGGGCAAATCGTGGAAGAAGGACTAGAAGCAGTGACAGTGCTCCTGGACCCTTGCGGTAGTTATGTGTGTTTTCATTTGAGGCATGTGCTGTGAGCTGTCCAGCGGGCACTGTCTTCCGGAACTACTTCGTGCCTTGGCATCGCGGAGGTTCAGCCACAGTGTTACAGTTCACCAGTGGCTCTTCAACACTTCGACTCTGTCGTATCATCTACTGTAAATCTAATTGCTAAATGATCAGATTGGACCATCGCTTGAGCAGAAGATTGGGGCAGGCGAAAGGTCCCAAATTGGCACTCGAGCACCAACTGAGGTGAACGGCAGTGGCCAAGGGCGAGGAGCCCGGGTGGCGTTGGGGTATCGTGGAAGAGGTCCAGCGCCCCTCACATAATGATTTGTTTGATTTCGGAGTTCACTCAACTGATCACACTGAGAGGAAGAAAGGAGAAACACTCCTTGTGGCACAATGCTCATAATGATGGAAGACTCAAGACACGCAGACTAAGGCAACTCATCAATGGCTCTTAGCCCCTTGCCTTGGTCCCATGATAGCTTAAGATCCACCTGCCCGTTCAAGGTGGATAAAGTCCGACTCCGAACCTTCACAGGATGCTAAAGGTTACCCAGTCGGATTCCAAGTCTATAGAGGAGTTCCTAAACTGTCAGTGAGTTTGAGCAGCCTGCAGCTTATCCGCAACTCTCTGGATTTCACAGCCTTCTCAAGGTGTTCGGCTGCCGGGTGGGTGGGATCGGGCAATGCTCGTGTGCGACGTGATGAGACAAAGAAGGACGTTGCCCCACTCGTTTCAGTTTCACATCCAACGTTACAGTTTCAGACTCCAACCAACGCCGTTTAATCAGATTCCCACTTTCTCATTTCAGCGTCCCGAATCCCACTCCAACCCCGTTATAGTGATATGATATAACTATATATATAAATACTCATTGGATGCGTGGGTTATGATCATCGTGGTTTTGGTCACTTTGGCTTTTGGGGCTTCAGCACTTCCACCTATCTTGGTGCTTCCGTGAACTATTGGACTAGGTCCCTGGCCAGGACGTCAGCTGGATGGCTTGGCAGAGATTGGGGAACTGGTCAACAACGCCAAAGAGAGCCTTTCCTTCAAAAGAAAAAGTCATTTGAGAGGTCCCCCTTGGCGGAATGATGGATCAGTTCTTGAGACCCCCAAGATGCCACCTGGACGTGCTCAGCAAGAAGAATATCGCACTTCAATGCGCCGCGTCATGCTTGAATCAGGCGCCCATGCCCGGAAAAAAAAACAAAACAACCAGGTGAGGGTTTCCGCAAAAAGATACTTGTTAGCATTTGGCCCCTCGAGAACTTCTAGGAGCCATGGGATGTGATGGATTTTCCTGCTCAAGGCTTTCAAGTCTTCGGCCATTCCCCGGCCTCTTTCAATCCATACATTGCGCCGGAAGGAAGTGGGTTCGTGTGCCCAGGAAGTATTGGCGGATGGTGAATGGATACTGCCTGCCCACAGACTCCAAAAGCTTGGCGCGGTTGGGCCAACGAATCAAAGAGGCTAGGACGTGCACTTTGATTTTTATGCTGTGTCAGTTGCATGGGAATCAGCATTTCAATTCATTACTGTGAGCAGTTTGGGCAGTTTTGGTTTACAACATGCCAGGTATGCTTTCCTGTCAGCAATGGGTAGACCACTTGCTCATAAATTCACCACCCACATCCACGCACTATAAGCAAAAGGTCGATGAGATTCGATGATCAAGAGGGCACTGAGGGAACGAGAGGTCAGCATGTTCACCGAGTGTAGCGACTAAGACGATGGCTTCGGTGGCTTAGGAACCAATATCCAAAGTCCGGAAAGCTCAAACAGCACTGCATCCAAGTTCGACGGCGATCGATACACTCTCATATACCATTCCTGCATATCGAGGTTTCTCCCCTCCTACTTTATTGTTTCTCGTCCTGGCCCTCCAGGACGAGAAACTCTCGGATGAGATTCGCAACCGCCTGCGGATTGGTGTCCACTGGGACACTGAAGCTTTGTCGCACTACCGTGCATCCTTTGGAGTGAACTCCTTATCTCAGCCCGACTAGACCTGCCCCGTTTTTCCAGTCCAGTGCTTCATAACAAGCTTTAACCTTGGGATGTCTTGTGCTACCAATGCACTGGTGGTAAAAGGTTGACCGAGCTCTTTGTTCCAAACTGAGGGAATCAGCCAACGACTCTCTTTTCCCTCGGTGTTTCGCAGGATTCATTCTGAGCTACGGCTTGGGCTGCTGAAGCACAGCAAAGCAAGGTGTTGTTGGCTCCATCAGACAGACTTTGCTCAAGCAACCAGCGGTTTTTATCACGGGCAGCTGTGCACTACTCACAGAGTCAAGCGGCAATACCCTTTCAAGAAGCATGTGCTTGTTGAGTGGTTTTTAGTCTAAATATACAAGTCCGGGCAATTGACATTCCTGCCACAAACCGGGGGACGCTTTTCCGTTCAGTTGAGTCATGCATGATCCGATGTTTGCTTGTCCAACTGGAAGATCTTGATCATGGGCTCCGGCTCCAGTGCCGATGAGCGAGATGCTTACAAGCGGCTCCTGTACTCGTCTGCGGCAAGGGGCAAGATAGTCGCTCTCGTTTTGCTTTGAAGTTTCGCTTTCAGCCGCTCTCAAATCTCAAGCGTTAGAAAACCTAGGTCCAGTTGTCGCGATTGAGAAGTGAGAGATGAACCCACCATAGGGCTGGGGGTGCAGATGCGGTTTTGATTTTTTCAACATGTTTCAATCAACATCAGCAATAGCATTAGGTGACGTTCCTGGAGGAGTGTTTAAACATAGTTTACCGCTAAGTATCTTTCCCCCACACTCTCGCTCCCTCACTCTCTCTCTCTATTTGTTATCTGTCTTTTCTTCGTGGATTTGTCAAGACAACTGTCGCATATGTTCAATATAGAACAGCCCAATTCACACAGACAGGGTCCTTTTTCGTGCAAGAAGTCCAACATGTGTTTAGTCATATACAATGCTTCACTTGCCTGTGGCCTCTAAGGTGCAAAACACAGACCTCGAGATCAAGGTCTCTCTCGTCAGTGGGCGATGCGCATCCTTCTCGCTCTCAGCAGGCGCCCGGGTGAGGCAGCTGAAAGTGGCGGCGCAGCGGACCTTTGAGAAGGCTTTCTTGAGCCTGGCAACGGCAGATGGAGTCTTTTTGGATCCCTGGAGGAAGGAAGCGGTCGCGAACTGTGAGAATGAAGGGAAGAATTGAATTAAACAAATGTCCATGTACAACTGTACATATATAACCGTGAAACGATGTGTCATGTACAACTTTGTGTGTGTACAAATTTCCCCAGTTGTTTCGTGATTGCAGTTAGCAACAGCGCTCGGTTTTGAGGGCATTGAGCTCAGTTTCTATGGAGAGTTATTATTGCCGACATCCAAGGATCCAGAGCTTCCCATTGATGCCGTTTTGCACGATGGAGCCGAAGTCAGTGCCGTGGTGTTGCCATTTCCTGAGCTGGCGGCCACGGACGCGGCCTTTGCCCTATGGTGCTGTGGCGGGGGCGTGGTAACCTGGGGCGACCCAGAATATGGCGGAGATAGCACTGCGGTCCAAAGTCAATTAAAGAATGTGCAGCAGGTGTTTGCGTCGGCAGGTGCCTTCTCAGCCATCCTGTCTGATGGAAGGGTTGTAACATGGGGTAATAAAGGGTGTGGTGGTGACAGCAGCCTGGTCCAGGAGAAGCTCGTGAATGTGCAAGAGATACAGGGTTCACATTCGCGTGCTTTCACAGCCATCCTGAGAAATGGCAAGCTGGTGACCTGGGGTGATGAAGATTGTAATATCAGCTGCGTGCAAGACCAGCTGGACAATGTCCAACAGATTGAAACTAGCAATGGAGCCTGGGCCGCGCTTCGGTCAGATGGACGTGTAGTGACATGGGGCAAGGCATTCTATGGGGGTGATAGCAGCGAAGTCAAGGATGACCTTCAGGGGGTGCAAAAGCTTTATAGCACAATGCACGCCTTTGCTGCCCTGCTGCAGAATGGACGTGTGGTAGCTTGGGGTGATGCAGCCGGAGGTGGCGATAGTGGAGATGTGCGCGATCAACTTGAGCAAGTTCAGCAGCTGGCAGCAACCAGTGCAGCCTTCGCAGCAGTCATTGAGGGTGGGAATGTCGTGACCTGGGGAAACCCAGCCAGTGGTGGGGACAGCAGCCGGGTGCAAGATGAACTGAAGAATATACGCCGCACCTATGCTTCTGCTATGGCCTTCGCGGCAGTGCGTGAACCAGATGGAAGTGTGGTGGCTTGGGGGGACAGGGACGTGGGTGGTGACTGCAGGTCTGTGCAAGAGCAACTGCAGAATGTTCAGGACTTCCAGGTCTCCCAAGAACTTGCCGGTTGTTGGATTTAAATACCCAATCCATGTTCAGGTTTTCTGAACAAAGACGTTGAACATTGACTTGTGGATAAGACTTCAACACCCTTTGAGGACATTGAATGTGCAGCTACTTCTTTCGCTGCCATCCGTGCAGATGGAGAGATTGTGACCTGGGGCGAGCCCGAGGCCGGAGGTGATTGCAGCAAAGTCCAACATCGACTGCGAAGGGTACAGAAGCTGAAAGGCACAGCTGCTGCTTTTGCAGCCGTTTTGGAGGATGGACATCTAGTGACCTGGGGTTTGGACGAATATGGTGGAGATTGCAGCGGTGTTGTTGATCAGCTCGGCCGGCTTTAGGTGGCCAAAGTGCTGTCCACAGAGTGCAGAAAGAGTGTGTCAGTCCACAGCTGCAGAGACTGGTTGTTGGAGCATTTGAGAAAGCTCCTCAATCCAAACAGTCCTGGAGTGATGGCCTCCAACCTAATAGCGATGGCCTCCAACCTACTCAAAATCCAAACAGTTCTGTTCCAGGGCGTGGTCCATTGCGACACGAGCATAGCCCGTTGGACTCACAATGATTACTAATTTGGTAGTCTTGGAGTTTAATCGCAGAAGCAAGAAGCCAGTAGTAGTAGTCGTCGTCGTCGTCGTCGTCGTCGCAGTAGTAGTAGTAGTACCGAGGGCATCGCTATTAGTACTGTAGCCAAAATGCTATATACTGGCAACAAAGAATGTCACACGCCACAGGGTAGTCAGAGTGCAGAAGCCGTGGAATCCTTCAGAACAAGCCTCGCCTTCACTTACAAGGACATTGGATCATTGGATGAGCTCAATTCCGCATACATTCTGAAGAGCATTTGGGAGTTGGCTCTTTTTCTTTGAGCACTCTTAGCGGCAGTGGCTTTTTTGAGTGCACGGAGCAAACCCATACGCCCACCCTTCAAGCCATTTGCTCGGATTTCTGCCTTTACATTCACCATTTGAAGCCACTGCGCAGTTCTTGCCTTCAACGGCACTTTCCGACCATGTCCACCATGCCCCAGGAAGTGGCGAACAAAGAGCACCGTGTTTGCCAAGTCTTTTGCTCCGCCTTGCCCGTGGCCTATGCGAAGAGCACCCGATCCCAAGACTGGGACGCTGAGCGAGGATGAGAGTTGATCCGGTCCGTTGCAGTTTCCAGGTTGTCCGTAAGCCTTAGCCACACTAAGCCAATCTCAGACCGCCGAACAATCTCCGGGCCGCGGGGGCCCCGCGGGGGCTGCAGCCGGTCGTTTTTTCCCTCACAAGGCCGAAGCCGCCGAAGCCTGTCTTCCTGAGGAAGCTTTTGCACGCTTGGTGCTTCAAGGGACTTTTGAAGCCACTTTGGCCATTGCTGCCATCCTCAGCGCAGAGCGGCAAGCACGCGTGAAGGCTCGAGAAGGGATGTCAGCAGAAGTGAGTCTGAGGGACACGGTTCAACAGAAGAATCCACAAGATCGCATGTATGGTGGAACTCTGGAAACTCCTTTTGTTTCGTTTGGGGCCTGATAGCACAAAGAATCACAAAGATACATTTGGGCGTGTGATACTGTAGTCTAGTTCAAGGTTCTGCTGTTCACTTTTGCTGAAGAGGCTGCCAGGATACATTCTGACCAAGACGCCTGATTGGGACTAAGTTGGCTAGGAATCACTTCTGCATATGAATATGCTTGATGTGTTTTTGCTGGGGCTTGCCTTGTGGCAGCTTCCTGCTGTCCATGGGGTCCTTCTGGCATGAATTTGTGTTTGGAGTGCATGCAGCTGCCTTACGTTTGATTGACATGTCAACGGTAGTGCTCTTTGTCAATCCTGGTCCCCCCGGCGGCGTTTTCAATTTCAAGGAAATACCTACTGTATCAGAAAGCTCTCGGCACCGCGTCACGATATGTAGCTAGGTTGGAGGCCATCGCTAGTAGGTTGGCCATCTAGCTTTCAAGCCATTGATGCTCAGGTCTACCTCAGTGCAGTCGGGGGTGGCGCCTTCGGGAATCGCACCCTGTGGATCGTGGATGCCATCGAACGAGCCCTCAGGACTCGCTGCCGCAATCGCTCGAGAAGTGCCCAGGAGTTTGAATGCCAAGAAGTCTGCAATAGTCGTAGTGCAGCGACGTGTTTCCTTGGGATACTCTTGACAACCTACTGTGACCTATCGTTTGCCCACTATGCCGTAAGTCTGGGTGTTGCCATTTGGATCTTCAGCGGTTAAGATGGACTTGCACCGTGGGCCATTTTCTTCGCCCTTCAGTGACCATGCCATGACAACCACATTGCATGCCTCGTATATTCCAGACCATGTAGACCGTGTGCTGGTGTGGCAATTTGGGTGAAGCAGCACAGCGAATGAAATCAGGCGTGAATTGCATTCTCATGGGCTTGGGTGTGTACTATTACGACTATTAATTCGTTAATTCGGATTCTTTGATTGTTTGGTGGAGTTTGAGCATATAGAACTCAGTCCACCTGCCTATTTCCGGCATATGGTATGGTAGCAGCATCCTTTTCTCCGGAGCGGGCAGGGTTTCCATGTAGGACTCACGCAGATGCACCGCTGGACGTGATGTTGGTCCACTTCAGCTCAGTGCCACGGGGTGCATACGGAGACCTGGAGAAGGGCAGAAAGAAGATCCGGCCGGCGCCCAAGAGCCTTGGTGGGGAAGGTGGTGCAACAGGCATTGGTTCAAAAGGTGTAACTTGGGTCTGAGGATGTCCGTAAGTCAGTTCGATGATATATATAACTATATATATATAAGTATATGTGCATTAGTATATACATATCTATTCTAACTTTATATACAATTATATAATGTATCGATTCGTTGCACGCATTCGGAGTGATTTGTTCAACGAGAAGACGCCGTCCGTATTTCGCCCCATGGCATTTGGGCCGACTTGCCAAGGACGGCCCCAGCTCCAGAGGCGACGCCCGCCGCGCCCAGCGAGGGCGATGCCCGGGCCGGACCAGATGAGGTGGAGGCACCGACGCTGACGAAGACAGACAGTGATGGAGCAACTTGATGCAAAGTATATTTTGAGCTTGCCGTCCTTTTCGACACCAAGAATTCTGACTCTTTGACTCAAGGAACTTCAAAAGCAAGAGATTGCCAAAACCATATATTTGGGGGGCCGCTCGGGGGGCTTATGTTCTTTTCATCCAGCCTTCAAACACAGGGATGGCCAAGCGCCCGCCTGAGTGAAGGACCAGAGTTGGTATTGTATTTCAATCACGATCTCTCGCTTGGGATTCATGATCGTTGCACTAATTATGTGCCAAATTGGTCCGAGGTAACATGTTGTTCTGGATTCTAGCTGAGGTGCTCATCGCCAAAGCCTTTGCCAAGTGACTTGGCGCTGCAGCTGTGAGGCTGTCAAGGTCATAGGTGTTCATCAAGCGCAAGTTGGATGGCTATCGTTAAGCCACAAGGTCCTCCCATCGAAAGCCTTGTAGCTGGCATGAGCCCTTTACCGCCTTGTCATTATTTCATATGATTTGCCTAGTAAAATGCATCAAAGGCTAGACCTGAATGGCGATGGGGTGATACTGGAAGATGAGATGGCGGCCGTCCTGATCAAGATCGTTCCCGAAGCCCGGCCCAGTTGTCAAGCGTGCTACTAGGAGAGGACGCTACTAGGAGCAAAGGGCATCGCTACTAGGAGCAAGGACGCTACTAGGGGCTCCTGGCCGTACTACTAGGAACAAGGATGCTACTAGGAGCTTTTTCGTGCAGAAACTTGTATTCCGTGCACGCAGTTCATGGCAGAAGCAAGCGAACCACCATGGTTTTGTCGAGTTTTTGTCAGCTGGGGCAGCTGGGCTGTGGCACAATGGCTTGTTGGTTGGAAGCGCACGGTGCTTCGTTTTGGGAGAGTATGTGCTGGGCAGCCACAGACACAGAGAGCTCAGACTTAAACACGGGTTTGGAGTTTGGGCTTCGCTACTAGGTTGGAGGCCATCGCTATTCGGTTGGAGACTAGGTTGGAGGCCATCGCAGCCACAGATACAGAGAGCTCAGACTCAAAGGTTTGGAGTTTGGGCTTCGCCGGCAAAATGTGATTGCCTCCTGCTCACAGAGCGGCGTAACTGACCGCCCTATTGGAGTTTTCGTCAGAAGCAACAGTTCATGCGGACTACTACGGTATGATCAAAATCAAAAGGAGTGACTGGTGAGTCCTGAGTTTAGGCCTGCACAAGTGATTTTGTAGGTCCTCACATTTGGATGAGGGTCCGGCTCAGAGTAGGATTGCTTACTCAACAAAAGTCTAATCAACATGCACTCCTCTCCCCTCAACATCTAGGTTTGAAGGAGTGGAGGCGCTTCAAGCACCCACGATCGGAATGCTCAAGGCATTGACTGTATACATCCCACCCAACGGGACCCAGCACTGCTCTGTTCGCTTCGCCTCTACGCCAAGGGTCTGGACGCCGAGGGAGTGAAACAGATCTTCACAGCAGCAGACGCCAATGCAGATGGGGAGATTCACTACGCTTCTCGCTGATGTTTTTCATATCCTTTTGACCTAAAACATTTGGATCGGGATGGAGCATGGGTTTCTTTTTTTTTCTCCGCGGGCGATTGGAGATGTCCTTTGCAAGACAAACATGGACAGAATTGTCCTTTGCCACGGACGGAGTCTCAGTATGAGAAATGCTCCCTAAGGTGGAATTTGCCTCCTGGGTGACCAGTGGCATGGCAAGCATGAGAATGTGTTGGGAGATTTGGATGTGGAGTCTTTTCCAATGTTATTAATTGTAGCTGCATATGCCCCTTGTTGTGGATATGGGTCAACCTACAGGGGAACAGCTCCTCTCGTTCTGAGAGAAGCTATGTGGATGTGGTATGACGTGGTTCTCAAGTTCACTAGAAACACAACGCCTAGGTGAAATTCTGATCCGGAGTGTCATGGGAGAGCTGGTGGGGTGCGTGTAGCGGATGGGGCCCCAATTTATGCATCTCAACTATCAAAGGCTCCACTAAGACTGCTGATCATCCACCACTCCCAGACAGCCTCACCACGAAGGGACCTTCAGGAGAAGATGCTGGTGCAGTGGCCAAAGATGTTTTAAAGCTGGCAGAGGCTGCGTCTGAAGAGAAGAAGGAATAGTCCGACATGGTCTTGCAATTCCATCCAATGTCGAGGAGGATCGATTGATCGGAATTGTGCACAATATGTTTCACGCACCTACTCCACGAGACTAATAAAGTCTTCGGAACCACCAACATATCATTACTGAAAAGGAAACCCATGTGAGTTAATTTACTGTATGCAATCCTTTTCTCATGTGAACAACAAGGATATGATAATTTAAAACATATGCTCCCAAAAACACCAACATAGGCAATGACACCATCGCAAGTTTACAAACAAGTGTCGTGTCTTCGCCAAACAAGGTGTCTTGAAAGATGGGAACCTTTTCAATGTGTCACGTGAGTATTACCAACACCGCAATACGTTGCTATACCACATATCATGTGCCCACAACATGGATGTAAGATGACAACACTATGAATTGCAAGATATTGCAAACAAGAACCAACAAACCTGCTCCGGAACCCGCTCTGGAATTTACTCCTAAATGATAACGCGAATCATATCAATGTGTTCCAATACCTATTTAAAAAGATATATATTTACCAGGCTACCGCCTGCAGCCGCCAACCCCCAAGGGATAGAACCTTAGCGCTAGCCTTGCTCCAGGCAGAGAGGTGGGGTGAGGCGTGACTGTCGATGTTAGCCTTAACCTTAGCCTTAGCCTTAGACTTAGCCTTAGCCTCAGACCGCCCCTACCCCTCCGGACCCGGGTAGGAGTTCCCCAGTTTTCTTCCATGGTTGTAGAATTATCTAGCATGTCCTCTTGCATTTAGGTTCCCTGATTTTCTCAAAAATTGATGAACTTATTTTTAACCTATTCGATTCTAGTGTTCCCGGCCTTTGTTTAGATTTTGCGCTGGACGAGGTCCGGCCAGTGCCCGTGGTAACGTGAAAGGCTTTGGTAAGATTTTCGCATGCCTGTCAGGCGCCCGTGTCCGCGCCATGTGGCGTGTTGGTTCTAGGACGGAGCAGCGCAAACGGAAGCTCGGGGAGGTGGTGACGAGCTTCTCGCGCCAGCCAGGGAAGAGACCGTAGCCGTGTACACGCGGGCGGCACGCGCGCGTGGCGGAATGTCTGCAGTGCGGTAGGCCGGGGCGGGAGGGGGTTACGGAAGGGTGTGGAAGCGGGTGGTTCCACGGTAGGAGGAAGGACGTTGCCCTGGATGTGGGGAGGGTAGGGTTTCCTGGAGCACCCCTTGAGCAAAATGCAGGAGTCGAGAAGAGCCCCCGTCACCCAAGTTGTCGGGTGAGAGGCAGCCTGTGTTTGTGTTATGCGTTTCCTGCGGGAGAAGGGCGCTGCCCATGGTCAGACAAAAGAAGGAAGTTGGGCGACAGGAGCCGCGGCGTAGGGCGCTGCCCATGGTATAGGGTGCAATTCAGGTGCTGTTCTGAGAATTTTCTTGTTTTTCCCAGATTTCCTCCAAAAATGGCGAACCTTTTGCTAACCTATTTTGTGCCAGTGTTCCCGGCCAATGCCCGTGATTTTTCCTAGGAATGCTCTTGGCTTTGTTTAGATTTTGTTCCGTTTTCGACTGGATGCTAGGAATGCTCTAGGCTTTGTTTATTCGGCAGGGTGCTTGTGTTGCTCGTAACCACCACGGGCCGTTGCCCGTGTATGTTCCCCTGTGCAGGCCATGGAAAACTGCTCGGTGTAGTTGTCGTGGGCGGAAGACGCCGGCGCGCCAGGGCGTCGCTTACCGCCCATGTCGGGTACCTCCCGATTTACCATCGGACGTCAGCTCTTGCATGAACCCCGTGACGCGTTGGGTTCTGCGGCCTGTGGGGCCGCAGGGCGCTGCCCATGGTCTAGGGTACATTCAAGTGCCACAAGTGTCGGCGCCCGGACTTGTGCTGAATCGATCGGTTTCTCCCGGCGACCCAACCCATTACCACCAAAGCAGGTACCCAAAAAGTCGACTCGGCGCCCGGACTTGTGCTGAATCGATCGGTTTCTCCCGGTGACCCAACCCATCACCACCAAAGCAGGTACCCAAAAAGTCGACTTTTTGGGTACCTCCCAGATTTACCATCGGACGTCATCGCTTGCATGAACCCCGTGATGCTGAACCCTTCTCCCCATAAAGGATATCATTGCCTAAGAGTTCAGACCCATCACCACCACAGCAGGTACCCAAAAAGTCGACTTTTTGGGTACCTCCCAGGTTTACCATACGTGATCTCTTGCATGAACCCCGTGGTGATGATGATGCGTTCCTCACCGACGAGTCCGCGTCTATATCCTGCTGTCCAGGCACACTCTATCGCCGAGGACCCCTCGCAGGCCAAACTGCAAAGGTGGGTTCCACGATAGAGGACTGTCTCTGTTTTTTCAAAAGTCGACTTTGGGTACCTCCCAGGTTTACCATCGGACGTCATCTCTTGCATGAACCCCGTAATGCTGAACCCTCGTCCCCATTAAGGATATCATTGCCCAAGAGTTTAGACCCAACCCAGCACCGCCAAAGCAGGTACCCAAAAAGTCGACTTTTTGGGTACCTCCCAGATTTACCATCGGACGTCAGCTCTTGCATGAACCCCGTGACGCGTTGGGTTCTGCGGCCTGTGGGGCCGCAGGGCGCTGCCCATGGTCTAGGGTACATTCAAATGCCACACGTATCGGCCAAACATAACAAAATCTAGACAAAGCCTAGAACATTCCTAGGAAAATGCTAGAAAAGCCTTTGAAAGTTCCATAGGTTAGCAAAAGGTTACCAATTTTTGGGAGAAATCTGGGAACCTAAAAACAAGAGGAAGCGCTAGAAAATTCTTGGAAAAGCATCCAACCGAAAACATAACAAAATCTAGACAAAGCCTAGAGCATTCCTAGGAAAATGCCAGAAAAGCCTTTGAAAATCTCATAAACCAACAGAAAACGTGACAAAATCTACGAAAAAGCAAGGGCCCATGCCGCGACCAGCCCGGGATTCGAGCCCAGGACCATTTTGGACCGTGCTTATTTTCCCGCGCGGGTCGAGAGGGTGCCCCAAGATGTATATAAATCAATTGGGATGGCAGAATCTTGGACAATCCAGGTCGCCATCAGGTCGCTTTCCCGTCAAATTCCGTAGCTATCAGGTCGCTTTTAGGTCGGGATTTCGTCACTGCAACAAGGGTCCGGAGGGGTAGGGGAGGTAAGGTCTAGGTCTAAGGCTAAGGACGAGGTCTAAGGCTAAGGATAAGGCTAAGGCTTAAGTCTAAGGCTAAGGCTAAGGATTAAGGCTAAGGCTAAGGCTTACGGCTAAGGCTAACATCGACAGTCACGCCTCACCCCACGGTGTGGGGTCGGCGGATCACGCCTCACCCCACGGTGTGGGGTCTTTGGGTACCTGCTGTGGTGGTGATGGGTCTGAACTCTTAGGCAATGATATCCTTTATGGGGAGAAGGGTTCAGCATCACGGGGTTCATGCAAGCGATGACGTCCGAGGGTAAATCTGGGAGGTACCCAAAAAGTCGACTTTTTGGGTCCCAGATTTACCATACGTGATCTCTTGCATGAACCCCGTGGTGATGATGATGCGTTCCTCACCGACGAGTCCGCGTCTATATCCTGCTGTCCAGGCACACTCTATCGCCGAGGACCCCTCGCAGGCCAAACTGCAAAGGCGGGTTCCACGATAGAGGACTGTCTCTGTTTTTTCAAAAGTCGACTTTTTGGGTACCTCCCAGGTTTACCATCGGACGTCATCTCTTGCATGAACCCCGTGATGCTGAACCCTCGTCCCCATTAAGGATATCATTGCCCAAGAGTTTAGACCCAACCCAGCACCACCAAAGCAGGTACCCAAAAAGTCGACTTTTTGGGTACCTCCCAGATTTACCATTGGACGTCAGCTCTTGCATGAACCCCGTGACGCGTTGGGTTCTGCGGCCTGTGGGGCCCCAGGGCGCTGCCCATGGTCTAGGGTACATTCAAATGCCACACGTATCGGCGCCCGGACTTGTGCTGAATCGATCGGTTTCTCCCGGCGACCCAACCCAGTACCACCAACGCAGGTACCCAAAAAGTCGACTCCGCGCCCGGCCTTGTGCTGAATCGATCGGTTTCTCCCGGTGACCCAACCCATCACCACCAAAGCAGGTACCCAAAAAGTCGACTTTTTGATCACCTCCCAGATTTACCATCGGACGTCATCTCTTGCATGAACCCCGTGATGCTGAACCCTTCACCCCATAAAACATATCATTGCCCAAGAGTTGAGACCCATCACCACCAAAGCAGGTACCCAAAAAGTCGACTTTTTGGGTACCTCCCAGATTTACCATACGTGATCTCTTGCATGAACCCTGTGGTGATGATGATGCGTTCCTCACCGACGAGTCCGCGTCTATGTCCCTCTGTCCAGGCACACTCTATCGCCGAGGACCCCTCGCAGGCCAAACTGCAAAGGTGGGTTCCACGATAGAGGACTGTCTCTGTTTTTTCACGATAATCCTGTCGTTGTCTAAGGGGCCCCGTGTGTGGCCGGGAACACTGGCATAATAGCCAAAGGTTAACAATTTTTGGTGCAAATCTGGGAACCTAAGTCAAGAGGACACGCAAGAAAATTTTTGGAAAAGCACCCTCCCGAATAAACAAAGCCTAGAGCATTCCTAGCATCTAGTCGAAAACGTAACAAAATCTAAGTGCGGCCAAGAGTATTCCTAGGAAAAATCAAGGGCATTGGCCGGGAACTAGCAAAAGGTTACCAATTTTTGGGGGAAATCTGGGAACCTAAAAACAAGAGGAAGCGCTAGAAAATTCTTGGAAAAGCATCCAGCCGAAAACATAACAAAATCTAGACAAAGCCTAGAGCATTCCTAGGAAAATGCTAGAAAAGCCTTTGAAAGTTCCATAGGTTAGCAAAAGGTTACCAATTTTTGGGAGAAATCTGGGAACCTAAAAACAAGAGGAAGCGCTAGAAAATTCTTAGAAAAGTATCCAGCCGAAAACATAACAAAATCTAGACAAAGCCTAGATCATTCCTAGGAAAATGCCAGAAAAGCCTTTGAAAATCTCATAAACCAACAGAAAACATGACAAAATCTACGAAAAAGCAAGGGCATTGGCCGGGACCATGCCGCGACCAGCCCGGGATTCGAGCCCAGGACCATTTTGGACCGTGCTTATTTTCCCGCGCGGGTCGAGAGGGTGCCCCAAGATGTAAATCA